CTCTGGGCTTTTCGGCAACGGCTTTTTCTGACCTTTTTGTACGGTCCATCTCTGACAATTAGCTTGTGTTGCACTTACTGTTTGTTTGACATTCTCGCCAAATTTTGATTACGTCCACGTAACCTCTGATTGGGTCGGCCCATCTCGAAACCAGTCGGCTATTGCCGATTGGGCCATTGCTTAACGTTTATTATCATTATTATTATTATTATCATCATCATCATCATTATCATAATATTCACATCTAACAAGAGATAAAAGCTGCCTGCATGTAAAAACAATACATATAAAAAACGTTATTAAAAAAAATAGCATACCGGCCCACATTTAAAAAATTGTCCAGCCCTTCTGGCATTTGCCAGAATTGCCAGATGGCCAGTCCGCCCCTGGCTAATAATATTGAGCTTTTTATTTATTTAAAACCGCTTTTATCCTAGCCAAAATAAAACAAGACAGACTTTCTCCAGAAGAAAAATATTACAGGAAATACTGTGAAAAATCCTTGCTCTGTTGAACATCATTTGGGAAATATTTGAAAATGAAAATATATACAGGAGGGTGAATAATTTTGACTTCAACTCTACATAATTTATGATTTTTGACATTCGTAGCTGTGAAATGATTGAAATCATTTAGTGTAGTGATAAGGAACTGTGATGCAGTTCAAAACTTGCCGGAACTACTTTAGCTGTGCGTTTATCTGAAAATAACAGCACACCTTTTTAGAATGTTCATCAGCCAATCAGAATCAAGCAGCAGCCCTGTAATGTCTTTAATAGGCATGAAGAGTCACATGTTTAGCATGATCACAGTGATGAGTGATGGTAGTGACACAGACACATGTGCTGCTTCATTTTTGGGTGTGATCAGGCTATTTTACTCATAGTGGTCGATACTTCCCGTTTACACGCGAATCACATGGAACCACATTTCCTCATTTGGTCAAGCATTTAATCCGCCACTAGATGTAAATGGGTGTGTTGGTGTGTGTGTATGTCTGTGGGCGCGTGTGTGGGTGTGATAATACTGAACACACAGTCGACTGAAACTGAAAACTGATACAGATCTGAACATAAGAAACATACAATATGTGTGAGAAAAGCAAAATTAATGCCTTATTAATATTGAAAATAAATGTTTTTAACACTTTAATCAATGCTAGTTCATAACGTACAAACAATGAACAATATATTTTATTACAGTATTTATTAATATTATTAAACTGTAGTTAATGAAATAAAGTATTAATTGTTAGTTCATGTTAACTCACAGTGGATTAACTGTTAACAAGCACAACATTGGGTTAAATAATGCATTAGTAAATGTTGAACTATGATTATTAATAAATGCTGTACAAAAAGTGTTCATTATTAGTTTATAATATTATAGTTTATAGTACTAATAAACCATTAAATAAAAAGGTTACCTAAAAGTCTTACTTATTAAAATAAGTCCATAGAGATGCATCACTAAGACTTAAAGTACCACACACACACACACACACCCACACCCACACCCACATATATATATATATATATATATATATATGACATTAAATACTGGATAAAACCATTAATTATTTAACATTTAATACAATTTTATACTATTAATTATTTAACATTTAATACTGTATTAAACTATTAATTATTTAATATTTAATACTGTATTAAACTAATAATTATATAACATTTAATAATGTATTAAACCATTAATTATTTAACATTTAATATTGTATTAAACTATTAATTATATGACATTAAATACTGTATTAATTATTGGTCATATAACATTTAATACTGTATTAAACTATTAATTATTTAACATTTAATACTGTATTAAACTAATAATAGTATTACATTTAACACTGTATTGAGTTGGTAATTATATAACATTTAATATTGTATTAAACTATTTATAATATAACATTTAATACTATATTAAACTAATAATAATATAACATTTAATACTGTATTAAACTATTGGATATATATAACATTTGATACTGTATGAAATTAATAATTATATAAACTATGGTATATATGTAATGCAACTAATGGTTTATTATAGTATTAAATGTTATATATCCAATAGTTTAACACAGTATTAAATGTTATACAATTAATAGTTTAATACAGTATTAAATGTTATATATTGAATTGCCTAATATTAAATCATTAATTATATAACATTAACTTTATTAAACTATCAATCATATAACATTTACACCGTAATAAACTATTAATCGTATATCATTTAATATTGTATTAAACTATAAATCATTAAAACAATATTGACTATTAATGATCTAAAATATACAGTACAGTTATTGTTTTAACTACAGTATCTCATTAGTTATTTTCATTTTAATATAATCACATTTATTGTATCTAAAATGTAAGTCAAATAATGATCATTTATTATATTTACCTTATTTAGTTCTGCTGATAGTGTCTCCGTCCTCTTGATTTGAATAATTGAAAGCAGGGAAGACTCTTTGTAAGATACACAGACACATACACACTCTCTGAGATACAGACACACACACACTGTCTCATGTGGACCAGAGCTGTATAAAATCAGTTGTGGTTTTTCGTGTCAGAGCTGACGAAGGGTGTTCCTCTTTTCTCAGTTTCCGTGTAACAGCACTGTGCTTCACCCGGTTGTTTTCACACTTACTGCGCTCTTACACAAGAAAACAAACTCATCAGAGACACAACTGAGGCTTGATATTTGGCAATGTTGTGTGTATGCTTTATGCTTTAGTCAAATGCTTCAATCATCAGACAGTGAGAAAGAGTTTAAATAAGCATGAATGACAAAACAAATATGGGAAATTTGTATTAATGTAATGTAAAAAAATACTATTTGACTAAATCTGTTTTGTTCTTGAGAACGGCATGGTGGCTCAGTGGTTAGCATTGTCACCTTACAGCAAGAAGATCACTGGTTTGAGTCTCGACTGGGTCAGTTGGCATTTCTGTGGGGAGTTTGCATGTTCTCCCCGTGTTGACGTGGGTTTCATCTGGGTGCTCCCGTTTCCCCCACAGTCCAAAAACATGCGCTAGAGGGCAAGTGAATAAACTAAATTGTCTGTAGTGTGTGTGTGTGAATGAATGTACAACTGTATATTACAATATTTATGAAAAATAATGTTATCTATTTATTTCCCAGAAAATGACGATTTTAATTTGACGATTTAAAACGATTTTTTAATTTTCAGAAAAACAAACATTTTAATTTGTTATTCCACCAAATAATGCAGTCTTACCATGTCTAACAATGAAAATAAATAATAAAACAGAACTTGGGTAACAAGGGCACCATTAAATTAAGGTTTACCATTTTTGGCATGATTTTCAACGACTTAATGAATAAAAAATAAATAAATACAAGCCAGAATTTGATTTATAAAATGTTTTTAATCCAAATATTACATGTACTCTCTCTAATAATTCAAGAACAAAACATTCATTTTCCTTCGGCTTAGTCCCTTTATTCATGGGGGGTCACCACAGCGGAATGAACCGCCAACTTATCCAGCATATGTATTACACAGCCAAACACACTCATTCACACTAATACACTGTGGACAATTTCGTTTATTTAGTTCATCTATAGCGCTTGTCTTTGGACTGTGGGGGAAACCGGAGCACCTGGAGGAAACACACCAACACGGGGAGAACATGCAAACTCCACACAGAAATGCCAACAGCAAGAAACAAGACTCAAAGATGACCAAAGTAGGGCATGTGGGCCAAAGTTGGCCCATTGTAAACTTTGATTTGGTCCTTTATCTCATCTGAGAGGAGAGTGAGAAGGATGGAGAGGGTTGGGGTAAACACCTTTAACACAGGCATGGTCATTTCTAATTTGACGTATAGCCTTTTTTGTTCATTTTATTGTGTTCATTTTATTGCTGAGCTACAAAAAAGCAAAGGGAAATTAATTGTTTCAATTAAATGTTTTAAATGAATGTGATTAAAATGCAAATACTGTAACTTGACGGACCGAATATGCAGAAGACATTGACGAGCAAATCAAGGCAAAAACTAGTGTTATTCTATTCTAAATGATATTTGAGTTTTTTTTTTTTTTTTTTACTGTAATAAGTTAAATATAAAATGCAAATAATACTGTATTAGCCAATATAAAGCAACGATCTCTAGTCATTTTTAAATATTATTCAATTAATTAGGAAATTACCCATGTCAACTATATTTACCTTCGGCCCACTATAGCCTCAATCAAGTTTAATTTTTGGCTCTTTATAAGAAAAGGTTTGGGCACCTCTGTATGGAGGATGAAACCTGCAAAAACAATAAATTCCTGCATAAATAAAACGATAAATAAATATGCAAATAAATAAATACGCAAATAAATAAATAAATCTACAAATTCCTGCTAAAATAAAACAATAAATAAATAAATATGCAATTAAATAAATGAATGAATAAATACACAAATTCCTGCAAAAATAAAACAATAAATAAATGCGCAAATAAATGAATAAATAAATCTACAAATTCCTGCATAAGTGAAACAATAAATGCATAGTTAAGCAAACCAATAACTAAATATGCAAATAAATAAATACACAAATTCCTGCAAAAAATACAATAAATACATAAATATGTAAATAAATAACTGAGCGAATAAATATATTAACAATAGCAATAAATATAATAAATATATAAATAAATATATTTGAATATGTATTTATTATTTTATTTATGCAGGAATTTGTGGATTTATTTATTTACATATTTATTGTTTTATTTATACAGGACTATGTGGGTTTTTATATGTATATATTTTTTGAATATTTATTGTTTTATTTATGCAGGAATTTGTGGATTTATTAATTTGTTGCTTTTGCAGGTTTCGTCCTGCTTTAGAACAAAAATATAATAGGAAATAGTATTGCGCTTACACCGTCCATCCGCTAGATGTCAGTACAGGATGAATGATCATACGTGCGTGAACTTCTTGGACCCCTACATGTTGGTACAATCCTATTTACCTTCATCTTATCAGACGTTTAACTTTCAGTTTCACTAGTGTTAATTCACAACCTGCATATAGACTGAGTGTTAAATTTATAGCGAACTCCAATTCGAGGACACATTGAAAGCGACCTTAAACATTTAATCAGCAGCAGTGAAGAGCAGATCATGGCGTTTCAGATGTCTAAAGTGTCCGCTCGTGTTTGTGTTTGGAGTCGCAGCTTCAAAGCGCAGTTCTGCTCTGGTGTTACCCGTAAAGCAGGCCAGTTTGAGAAGCTTTCCGCAGCCGCAGTGTGTGTTCCCCGGCCCGGCTATGCTGCTGTGATGGGGCTGCGGGTTGTGCTCGGCGCTGCGGGGGTCTCAGCGGCGGCGTGCGCGGCCCTGAGCACGAGCACGCTTTATGCCATGAGCGCGCGACCCGAGCTGAACCTGGAGTCTGACAGAAGCGACTGGAAACAGGCGAAGAGTGAGTCTCTCTGTATACAGAGTGAATAGCTGACAGAGAAATGTACTTTAACCTAAATACAAAGTTATGTTACTTTTTATAGTAAGTAATGCGATACATTACTTTTGAGTTACTTTCGCGTTACTTTTTATTACATGAGGATTGATCTCGTTCAGAACCTTTTTTAAATAGAGGTGCTCTGCAATTAACAACACACTGTATAACCTACAACCTAATTTAACTTTAAAAAACACTTTCAAAATATTATTTTAGGATGTTATCTGTGAACAGATTAATAATACAGAATATTAAACGTTTAAAGAGCCCCCATTATGCATTAATAAAGGTCATATTTTGGTTTTGGGGGGTCTCCAACAACAGGCTTATATGCATGAAAGGTCAAAAAACACTTTCATTGTCTTATAATCTGCATTTTTTTTTTACCTAATTATCCCAACGACTCTCATGATTCGATCTGTTCTATAGGCAAAAGGGGGTATTTGATGGTTCCGAAACCCCTCCTTAGTGCAATACTAATTTGCACTGATTGGTCCGATGACCCAGTCTATTGGTCTATTGGTCTATTGGTCGACTGCATTCAGCGTGAGACAGAGAGAAATGCCCACGATGGCTTATCAACAATTTTGAAGTAGTCAGAGTAGAGAGTATGTGTTAGCCCAGTGCAGGAGTGCATTAAAGCAGTGCAGTTTAACACCAGCATGTTGCTCTATTCTTAACCATAAGTAAAAACAGTGACACACATTCAGTATTAATCCACACAGCGAGAAAAGCTGAACTATTTTCAAACTTAATCACCGCACATGTGGGACCAGCTGATGGTGGCCATAGCAACGACAAATTGCAGTGGAACGCGAGCTCACAAATGCGTTTAAATCCGTAAACACATGTTGCGTTTACAACGTGGTTTTAGACGCAATATGAGAATCTAGAGTTAACCTGATACAGTACTAGCGATTACAAGTAACAAAACGCAATTAAGTACATAATTTGCAAGCTAGAGAAAATGAGGAGGAAACCATTTTAATCACACTTACACACTTACACAAGAAACGGATCCATGAACTGTGTATTGTAAAGTTCCTGTCAAGCTCTTTCCTTTAACAAACGGCCGACGAATCCCCTGTGTAGATTGCTGAAGCACTTGTCAGAAAAATGACAGGAACACAGCACAATGCTGGGGCTATAATGCTGAGGTATTTTTGCAAAAATAAACTTATTGAGGTAAAGTTGGTTTTATATTTGCACATTGAGACTTTCTCCTTAATAACATTATTTTAGAAAATTATTATTTGCAAATTCTAAACAGGGAAATCATATTATCAGCCAATGGCTAAAGTATGTTGTTTATAGTCAATTACATGGTGCTAATGTTGTTTTGAAGCCATAGTTAAATGTGATTTTAGACCGAATATTTAAATGTAGAAAATGCAAATGAGGCATTGTATAATTAAATATATTAATAATATAGATATAAATAATTAAATTTTCATACTCTGGAACATTGGAACAAGGTTTAAAATGTTGTGTGTTTGTGTGTGTGTGTGTTTGTGTGTTTGTGTGTGTGTTTGTGTGTGTTTGTGTGTGTGTTTGTGTGTGTGTGTGAACAGCCAGAAAAATATGAATCTGGGAAATTGGGTATGACCAAATCTCTCTGTAAAAACCTTTAGAATATAGATATTAATAAAACTTACATTTTGGGAAGCTGTCATCAGTGCAGGAGGGAAAAATGCTGACAAAACACCCAATAAAATATGTATTGTATTAAAGTTTACAAACACAATTTTTAAAAGCCAGAAAAAATAAATATTGTGTATTTGGATGTTTTCCTCCAGTTATACTTTTGCCTGCATTGTCTAACCTTAACTATAATGACCCCATCAGAGGGATCTGGCTCTTGTATCACACCGAAGAACTTTTATTTGTGAAAATGAATACACATTAACCTCATTATAAGGCTACTTATAATCAGAAATAACCTATAAAATAATTGAGATTGAAATGATGAATTATAAATGCACCTAAATCAGTGGTTTTCAACTTTTTTTTTTTTGATTCTTAAGGCCATCAACTGTCAAAGGAAAAGTGGATATTTTTCTCATGCCTGCCAAAGCTGCTCATTTTTCTGACCTAATTAGTTACTGAAACTAAGAGTGACAGCCAATGAAGTAAAATAATTATAAAATACTATTTTAAAAATCAAATGCCATAATTCCAGATGTGAATGTGTCACAGGGTTTAAAGTTTTTATTACAAGTGATTTACATGTTTGTTCAAGTTATTTACTCATTTATCATGGAAATGTTTGTTTTATTATTGTTATTTACTTAAAAGTATCTACTAAATAGTTAGAAAATGCATTTGGAACATGACAAAACTGAAAAAATAAATAATCATTATAAAAATGCACAAAATGTTTCAATTCAAGTAAAAAAAATGTTCATATAAATTATTACAAGTCTTATTAAAAAAATAATTTGACAAAAGCAGAACAGCACATTGGATTAGACTTGAAATTTAGTTGAAATTGTGGTGTTGTAAAATGCCTTCCAAAAAATAAATATTTTATTTGCAACTTAATTTTTTTCTTTTTAAACAGTGCATATCTAGTCTCAATTTTTCTGTCTTTTCTATATTACAATTAGGCTTCTGCAAGTGTCAGATTTTGTAACTGTGATTATTTGCTGAACGTTTTTTTATATACATTTACCGGCCACTTTAATAGCTGCACCTTAGTACCGGGTTGGACCCCCTTTTGCCAATAGAACTGCCTTAATCCTCTGTGACATATATTCAACAAGGTACTGGAAATATTCCTCAGAGATTTTGCTACATATTGACATGATAGCATCACGCAGTTGCTGCAGATTTGTTGGCTGCACATGCATGATGCAAATCTCCTGTTCCACCACATCCCAAAATTGCTCTATTGGATTGAGATATGGTGACTGTGGAGGCCATTTGAGTACAGTGAACTCATTGTCATGTTCAAGAAAACAGTCTGAGATGATTTGCGCTTTGACCTGATGCGTAATCCTGCTTGAAGTAGCTATTAGAAGATGGGCACACTGTGGTCAAAAAGGGATGGACATCGTCAGCAACAATACTCGGGAAGGCTGTGGCGTTGACATGATGCTCAATTAGTACTAATGGGTCTAAAGTTTGCCAATAAAAGTCCCCCACACCATTACACCATCACCCCCAGTCTGAACCGTTGATACAAGGGAGGATGGATCCATGTTTTCATGTTGTTGATGCCAAAATCTGACTGTACCATCCGGATGTCGCAGCAAAAATTGAGACTCGTCAGACCAGACAACATTTTGCTCTTCTGCATGCCTCGGTTGTAACCATGAGTTACTGTTGCCTTTCTGTCAGCTGGAACCAGTCTGGCCATTCTCCTCCGATCTCTGGCATCAACAAGGCATTTGCGCCCACAGAACTACCGCTCACTGGATATTTTCTTCTTTGGACTGTTCTCTGTAAACCCTAGGGATGGTTGTGCGTAAAAATTCAAGTAGATCAGCAGTTTCTGAAACACTCAGGCCAGCCCGTCTGACACCAACAACCCCATTCTCGTGCTCGGTTTGAACTGCAGCAGATCGTCTTGACCATCTCTACATGCCTAAATGGATTGAGTTGCTGCCATGTGATTGGCTGATTAGAAATTTGCGTTAGCTAGCAGTTGGACAGGTGTACCTAATAAAGTGGCCAGTGAGTGTATGTCACAATATAAAACATTTTATCTGTTTACTATCTCAAATCTTAGCAGATTCCTGAAACTTCTTAATGCATATAAAGTTTTTCAGTGCATTTTGCACTTATTTAAGTATGATTCTTTTTCCTTCATATGTTTTCTTTCATATTTTCTCATCTTTGGCAGCTAAGCTTTGCTCCATGGATAAGGAGAAGAGAAGGGAACTGTACAGGGTTGACTTCATTCCATTGGAGGACGTTCCTGTCTGGAGTCCGTCAGGTGAATTCAATGCACAAAAACCCTCACCGCGTGTACAGTTAAATATAAATCCCTAAAAACCTGCACAGAGTCTAGAGGTATGAAAATAAGAATAGATTGCTGATGTATAACCCACTATGTTTGCTCATTTTAGGTGACTCTTCTTGTAAACCTCGCTGCGAAGTCAATGAAGAGCTAAATATGAAAGTATCTTTGTTCGGCGGTGACATCACAAAGCTGGAGATCGACGCCGTTGCCAATGCAGGTGAGAGTACAGGCACAGGAAGATTCATAGTCTGCATTTACCTAGCTGGGTTTGTCTGCTTTATATTGTTTCCCAAAATAGTTTGTGCATGGACCGTAAATCAAAAACTTGAATCTGATTCAGCAGTTTATTGTTAAGGATTCTTTTTTGCACAGAGCCTTTTTTTGTTGATGTTGTTGCTGAAAACAGACAATGTACAAGAGGATTTAGCATGGCTTGAGTGCTTATGGCCCAGTTTTGGCTGAACAGACACTGCCCTATTTATTAAAGGGATTGTTCATGCAAAAATGAAAATTTAGCTGTTCATTTACTCACCCTCGGGCCGTACAAGATGTGACTTTTTTTGTTGTGTGTTTGAATTTTAAAGAAGCATTTAGTCAACAGACTACTAGCACTGATAGCTCTGTTTCTATCTAATGAGTCAAGGAAAACAAAATCGTCACTTCCTGATAAACTGGCGGCAAATATCAAAAAGAAAAATGGGATTTACTGTGGTGGGAGAAACCAATGTGGGCTTTTTTTCTTATATAATAAATTACTTGCACCTCAGAAGACGAAATGCAATGAACACAGTGGCTTTCGCAGGTGTGAGATGCTCTATGGGAGCACAGATACTTAAAACAGCTCTGGAGGTAATATTATATATCACAATAGTAATAATAATAATTGTAATAAGTGGGTCTGACAACAAAGGTGAGGGTCTATGTCCAGCTTTTTTAGGCAGAATAGTCATGCAGGCAACGGTCCAAACAGGTGCAAACAGAGGCATAAAGTTGATCAAAAATGTAGTCAGAATACAGGCGAATGGTCAGGACAGGTGGCAAAACAACGTAAACAATAAACAAAGCTGAAGGTCAAAAGCATGAAAGACAAGAACTAGGATAACTCTTCGGTAATGCTCACTTACAGATCACAAGACTCAGCAAAGAGTGTGTGAGTGAGATGCATTTTAGTTCTGGTAATTGGTCCATCACGAGCTTCCAGCTATGTGTCTAATGAGGGGGCATCAGGAACTGGTGTGTGAGTGCAAATACTTCTGGGAGTAGTAGTTCATATAGAGGCAGATGTGTAGTTCTCCAGCGATTAGCCCGACTTGAAAACATCATATTCAGCCTAAAATGTTCTGTAACATTCTACTTAAGTAAACAAAATCAACCTATATCACATGCACATCGATGGATTTTCAGTGTTTGGACTTTCAGCAGTGAGAATTAAACCACACTGGACTGAACTAAATTGAACTTTAACTCTGACACAGTTTCAATTCCAATTTACTAGAAATATGTTAAGCTGTTTTGACACAATCTACATTGTAAAAGAGCTATGTAAAATAAAGATGAATTGAATCTTGTATAGCCTCGGGGTGAGTTCGCTGCAAATCTTTATATTTTTGGGGTGAACTGTCGCTTTAAGACAGTGAACGTTTGGCTTTTTCAGTTTGCGGCACTGCATGTCCATTTAAGCTCACTCAACAACAGCAATATTGCTCATTTTCCAGACCTATTTTTGTACAGTTGCCATTTAGAAAGAGCAGAAACAGTCAGCAGAGCTCATCAGCAGAGCTCATGTCACTAGATGGAGGCAGAGCTTTCTGTCTGTCTGCGCCATCCAATCAGGCCCTTTGTAGACACACCTGAGAGCTTTGGAGCGTTCATCTGCATTTGCGAGTCTGTTCTTGGCAGTTACAGAACAAAGTGACTTTCAAGCTTTGCACATTTGCATCCTTTAAATAGCTAAAGAGATAAATCAAGCACCAAGATGAGAGACTAAAAACTCTCTTAGTTGCAGCTCGGCTGAGACATGCCTTCAAACTTTAGTCAGAGTAGCCGGATTTAAATTGTGGGTGTGAGAATTTTACAGTACATTCAATGGGTTGAACTGTTGTGCATCTTAACTCTTTTGCCAAAAAACATAGCTATTAAGAATTAAATGCAAACTCTGGGTACGTTTACCTAAAGGTGATGTTTTATGGCATAAATCACATATCACAATATATAAGTCTTCTCGTACACTCTGAACAAAAAGATTCATTCGATTTACAAAGATTTTTTATTAGAGTAAGTGGTTCCGAACTATTTATATGGGCTGAATTTAAACAAACAAATGAAGTTGAACTTAATTACTTAATTACTACTTTTAATTAATTTGTTTAAATTCAGCCTGTAAAATGTTTTGCTACAATTTTGCAGAAATCATTTTTTTCAGTGTACCACTAACGATATGCAAAGGAAGTCGGAATTATTAGCCCTCCTGTTACATTTTAATTCTTTTATTTATTTTTTCCTTACTTTTTGTTTAACAGAGAGAATGTTTTTTTTCAACACATTTCTGAACTTATTTCTAATAACTTTAGATTTATTTTGTTGTTGGTATGATGACAGTACATAATATTTTACTAGATATTTTTCAAGATATTTTAAAAAGAATAAATATTGCACATGAGGGCTAGGCATTGGCCTTGGATAAAAACATCACGGTTTCACAGTATTGTGATTTCTGCTCTAAAATATATTCTTTTTAAATGCCTGAGTAAAAAACGAGAATTTTTTTCCCCCATTGAACACACTATATTTTATTTCGAGAAACTTTAAAGTATTTTGGAGCAGTAAACATGTCAGGCTAAATAATTCAAATTAATCATTGACTTCTGCTGTCTTCACTAGTTTCAAAATGGCATCTTTGGAGATTTTTCCTGCTGGAGATTCTGTTTTCCTAAAAATAAATAAATAAAAAACCTTACACATACCTTAAGGGTTAGGCTAACGACCATTTTAAAAACTAGATGTTACGAAACAACAATATGGTGCAGCTAAATATCAACTTCGATTTAAATGGCCTTGAGAGTAAGTAGGTGTAAAAGATGACAAAAAAATGAAGAAGTCATCACAACAGATTTTAATAAAAATTTAAATAAAAGAGCTTTTATTGCTCTTACTTGTTTTAATAACTTAATCGAGTTCCGACTCAATTGTTTTAAAGTTTAACTTAAAATTTTTGAGTCTGTTTTATTCATTTAAGTCTAAGTGTAAAGCGCAGGCCGCAAAAGCATTAAGAGTGTGTCTGAATCCACTTTTGCTATTTTAAGGACTGAAATATATGCTTTGCGCTTCAGTGCATGGTCTAACAGAGTTGTGCTTATTCTCTTAATGACTTATGGGTGTGTTTTGAGACCAATCAGAGTCTCATCTCCCATTCCCTTTAAGATTCCGTTGCGTCGCGCCATGGTGCATTTGCTATTTACATAATGGACTTTGTAAGAGGAAAAACTGAACGCTTTAAAACAGTTAAGAAAACAATTAAACAGAGCATCTGCAGCGTGAGGATTAAAACGAGCCTCCTCCAATCGGCATCTTTACTTTCTCTTTTTCTCTTTAGTGGATAAGGATGTTGTAAACTCCTGAAGACATCCATTAGTCTGCATAATTAATTACGTTTGTTAAGCACAAAGATTTGTTTCAAAACTATTTCTATATTCAGTTGTAGTTTCCAGCAAACGAATAAATGAACAATAATAATGAGTTATATCCAAATAGACATGCTATGCTCCATATGGTTCAATACCCGACAGATGGACAAATCAAAAGCTTGTTTTTAATAAAACAAATATAAATATGCTTATAATAAATAATTCATTCATTTTCTTGTCGGCTTAAGCCTGATTTATACTTCTGCGTCAAGTGACCGGCGTGACCCACGGCACATGCAACGCGCGTAGCTGTGCATTTATACTTGTGCGCGCTGTCTCTGTCGGTCTGAATTAACACTTCCGAAAACGCTAGTGGGCAGTGAGGTGTTGATGTTCCTCTTTGTCGAGTTTCTTCTCTGCTTTTTTGCTTTTTGCTGAACACTTCCAAGTGATTTACAAGTGGCTCAAACTCGCTCATTTTGAGGCAGGAACCGGCGGACGTGCAACAACTTTAACTATGAGGTAAACACAACACAAAACTTTCCATCAAGAGCTCCTTCACGGGACTCCACACTTGTAAACAATCGCTCCATTGGGCTCGCGTCCAGCTCGCGCCATTCGCGCGGCTCTCTGTCCCGCCCAGAATTGTCAGCGCTACCAAGCCGACCAATCACAGAGCTTGCGCTACGCGTCGTTGCGATGTGTAGTTACAATTTTTGAGAGGTGCACGTCAGCGACGCCGACGGCGAAGGGCTATGCGTCAGCGCCGTAGCATACGCCGGTGTTTGACGTAGAAGTTTAAATCAGCCTTTAGTCCCTTTATTAATCCGAGGATGGCACAGCGGAATGAACTGCCAACCTGTCCAGCACGCTTTTATGCTGCGGATGCCCTTCCAGCCACAACCCATCTCTGGGAAATCTAATAAAAAAAACAAAAAAACAATTATAATAATAAATATTATTATTATTATAATAACATTATACAAAAGCAAGTTGTCATGAATAAACTGAAAAAGCCCCCTGAGATAAAGAAGGCATGAAGGCAGTGGTTTTTATATTTATGTAGAAAGTAAAATTTTTTTGTAATATTTTAATTCTTTAATTCTTCTTCATTTGTAAAGATATTTGCGTATTGCTGTACATCCTGTGTGTATTAAGCAATGTGTATGAGAGGTGCATAACTAACGCTCTTTGCGCTGGATTTTAGACCTGCTTTCAGCTGGTCTATTGTGCAGTCTATTTTAGTTCCTTAAAATAGCAATGCGCCAACAATGCGCCTTAACACACCTCCTTTCTAGACCAGCACACCCATGAGTCCACAAAGTGGCGTAAATAAATCAGCTATTTAAGCGTGGTGGAAAACAGGAAAATTAAGGTTGTGCTGATCTGAAAATAGCAACTTGCCGAGGCCAACAGGTCTTGCATATGATTGCGCCGGGTGTATGATAGCGCCCTAAATGCTGATTCATCTAAAATAATGCAGCAAGAAGTTTTCAATCACAATGTGACATCCCCATTTTCTCTAAATTGCATTTTTATAGTTTACACAAATATTGGTATTACCCACTATAGCTTCAACGCAATTATGGTGTTT